TCAAATAAAAAATATGACAGTGAAATGTTTTTCATTCAAAATAAATGAGTAAATTTAGAAGGATAATAGTGTTTAAAATAAAATAATTTCAGTCTCTTCCTATTTTTCACTCATTTTGATAGACGAGGATCATCTCTTGCTAACAGAATTGTTTCCTTGGCTCTTCTCGTTATTTCCTTTTTATCTTTATTGTAACAAAGAAAGCGTTCTAATGTTAAGTTTTCTTCCTCCAGACACGAGTTTCTAGTGTCTGTAATAAGTAGTCCTCGTAAGAAGTAGTAGATAAATGTAAATCCCAGTTCTTTGGCTTGAGTGATAAATATAAATACAATTTCTCTACTTAACTGTTCAAGACTTTATGATATACATTATACAGAGGCCAGAACTGTGAAGGTGGGGGCCACTGGGCAGTGCTACCATGGTTACCCTACTCACTGTTTTGGAGTCAATTGGACTGCCAGTTTACTAGTTTCTGTATAATGGCAATCATACATTCTAGTGTGCACTAATTGTACGTCCACTGTTTTTGGTTGCTCGTGTTGCCCTGCCACCATGCAGTTAATGCACAAAAGATATTAGGATCACATGCAGTTTTTTTATTTATAAAATGATTCAGATAATATTTAAAAATTAAATTATATTTATAAAATATGATTTTTGTTGGTTTAAGATTATTTTAACATTAAAAAATCAATATTATAAATAAACTCTTTGTATTCCATAATAAATTTTATAACTACCCAATCAAAAACTTAATTGGTTCAAATGCAGTTTAGAAATCTAAATTTTGATTTTATTTTTCAACTTTTATAATCATATTTTACCATAAAAATTACTTTTAAACTACTTTCAATTTGTTTTGTTGAAGTTACATGTATTATTGGCCTATTATTCATTTGAAATGTGTCATTAAATCAGATCTTGAATTAGTTTTTCAAACTAAATTAATTTCTCAGGAATTTTGTTTTTGTCTTACATAAAGAATTACGTTATTCTTGATATTTGTAAAGATTCAACTATCTTCTTGGTCCTCATAAATGCACGCCTTTTCCTTTTCAACCTGTATTAAAAATATTTATATTTTTTATTTCTACAAATTTCAAATCATCTGTTTTTTTTTTCCTCCTCAGTCTCTACCTTAAATATTGTGAAATATTTAAGTTTTCTATGTAATTTCGGGTAGTTATTCACTTATTTGCGGAGAACCCCAAATCAAAAATGGTTAAGTTCTCACGGTAAAATCATCGTAATGAATCCATCCTCGTAGGAAAATCCTAAATTTTAAATCTTAAATTATAAAATTTTATTTTTAAAAATATTTTTTATTTATTAATAAATGTTTTTTTAATAATTATGATATGAGTATAAAACATTTATATTAGAAACAATAATTATTCTCTTGGTTGAGGTCCAGGAGAATTAATAAACATATTGAATGGTGTATCAACGATTTACTGAATAAAAATACATATACATTAAAATTAATGATTCTATATTTAAATTAAATTATTTTGATAATTTGTCACATTATACCATTCCGTTCATGGAATTATTGATTCCATATCCGATATGGGATAAATGCCAAAAAAAACAAAGGATGAGAAAGTTGTGATTCCAAGATGAGATCTCGGATAAGGATCTAAGTAATAAAAAACTAAATAATGAGAATGCATACCAACAAAGAAAAAAGGGAGAATATATTGATGAAGGGTAAAGCAAGAACACAAAAATTTAAAAGGAACAAGTTTGTGCTGGAAGGGACCTACCCAGTAGATATCATTAACGAGAGATGCCAACCCAAACACAAATGATTGAAAAGTTGTCAGGTCCATCTCCATGAATGGCTTTTATATAAACTGTTCCTTCTCTAACACTTGTCTCACTTTAAACCCTAGTTTCTCATCAGATTTTTTTTTTTTTTTTGTAAGTGTTAAAGTGAGTTAAATTTAATTAGTCAACTAAGTTTATTATGTGTATGGATCAAGTCAAGTTAGGATTTTTTTTAGTTAAATTTTAATATGACTTATTTAACTCGTGAAATAAACGAATTTAAATCTAAATGAATTAGTCTAGTTTATTTAATCAAGTACAATTAAAAAATAAAAAAATATATATATTTATATTTATGTAGTTATCATTTGAAATTGTGATTAATATTTTTTTTATGTATTTATATTTAGACCAATGATAAATTTGATTTTTTGATAAAAAAAATTATAACTTTTTAGTTTATTTATTAAAAATAAGAATATGTAATTTTTTTTTATTTTAAATTTATTTATGCTCAAAAAATCTAGTGAATCAATCCACCAACTTGTGGTAAATTGAACTAAATTAAAAAAAAAAATTATTCATGAAAAAGTGAGTCAAATTGAGTTGATCTAATTAAAACATCAACTCATAGTGATTTAACTCATATGAATCGGGTTGGCCTACCTTGATATCTCTATATTTTCATTTATAATTTTTCAAAACTTTGTTTCAATGTGTAAATTGTAATCGAATCTACTTGTGAACATGTGTACAAGTTGTTCTAACTCAACTAATGATATAAGTTTGAGTCCTTAATAGTCTGAGAAATAATTTGTCACTTATAATCTTATTTGACAGAAGATAATTGTTTCTATTGGTATATACCTTTAGGCTGGAAAAAAAATAGTTAAAAGTATTTTTATAATATGATATATAAGCATTTTTATTATCTAACTCCACTCTTGAATTTATTTTTCTAAGGAGTCACGTACATATCTTGACATGATAAATATCAAACATAACATATCCTTTTCCGAAGTGAACCTGTAACATAGAAAAAAAAAATATTTTTAGCTGATTTAGTAGCCCAGAACGGGCCGTTCCCAGTCTGGAACGGACCGTTTGAGGAGATTCATTGAGGGATTTTCTAAAATAGCTATGTCTTTAACTCAACTAACTAAGAAAGGACAACCCTTTGAGTGGACAGAAAAATGTGAGAATAGTTTTCAAGAGCTTAGGAAAAGATTAACCACTATCTTTGGAGGTTCCCATAGTAGAATTGCTTCTACTTTAGATGGATCCACAGACACACCATCTTTAGAAATTCCATGTCCTAAAAACTTAACCTCCTCTAACCAAAATTCACACTTAGAAAGTTTGGCATACAATTGTTTATCTTTTAGGATTTGAAGAACAGTTTGAAGGTGTTCTTCATGCTCTTCATGCGTTCGAGAATATATGAGGATATCATCTGTAAAGACCACCACAAAATGGTCTAAATACGGACGAAAAATCCTATTCATATAATCCATGAACACTGCAGGAGCATTAGTTACTCCAAAAGGCATCACTTGATATTCATAATGACCATACCTTGTTCTAAATGCAGTTTTCTATATGTCTTCTGCTTTCACTTTGATTTGATGGTATCCTGATCTTAAATCTATCTTAGAAAACACAGTGGCTCCTCTCAATTGATCCATCAAATCATCTATCCTAGGAAGAGGGTATTTATTCTTTATGGTAAACTTATTTAATTGCCGATAGTCTACACACAGCCTAAAGCTTCCATCTTTCTTTTTAACTAACAAAACAGGAGCCCCCCAAGGCGATACACTAGGGCGTATAAATTGTTTTTCAAGCAACTCTTCTAATTGTTTCTTCAACTCTGCTAATTCAGAAGGTGACATCCTATAAGGTGCCATTGAAATTGGTCCAGTTCCAGGTATTAAATCAATCGAAAATTCAATCTCTCTGTCAGGTGGCAAACCAGGAATATCATTAGGAAAAACTTCAGGAAAATTTTGAACGACAGCTATGT